AAATTTGGGGGTTTTTGGGGGGGGGGGGGGGGGGGGGTGTATGGGATGCATTGCATTATCATCTTGGTCCTAAAATATGACCTGAAACATTGATATTCATGTTAAGAGATAAAGTCCCACATCGATTAAAAATGAAAATATACACCAATTTATAAGGTCTTGGGCTACTCTTCTTAATAAAATTGATCTTTTAAGATGGAACCACGAGTCTTAATATGATATCAGAGCCCATTAAGTTTCAACGAGTGATTCGATCCGACTAAGACTTAATAAATGAGCATAAGGATTTCATGATTGATCTGCTCAAACGAGCCACCATCTTGCGAGAGCATGTTAAGGGATAAAGTCTCACATCGATTAAAGATAAAAACATACACCAATTTATAAGGTCTTAAACTACTTCTCTTAATAAGGTTGACCGTTTATGATAGAACCACAAGCCTTAATAATTCATATGTTAAGCTTGCACATAAATTTATGTTAAAATGGAAATTAGTTTAATTTAAATTGACTTCTAGACTAAATCAAAGATTAGATAAAAATTAAATGATAAATATCCAATAGAACGATTGTCGGCCTTTTTATATCAAAAATATGTGTAGATCTTATCACTTTAATGACTTCATGTGAATATCGTGTGGAGTTTTTAAAATTGGATTATGAATACTGCCATTTAAGGTCGACCTCTTTGGATTATGATATCATGCCATTTAAGGTCGACCACCTCCAACATATTTAAAGTTTTTATGTTTGCAGTCTTAATAGGGTTTTATGTAGAAAATATTATTGACATATAGGTTTTTCTTATTCAAGAATATGAAGAAATCTCCGTACAACACTCTTATCACTTCATTTTTCAACGGTAGATCGATGAAGAAGAAAACAACGCAAGGGTCATTAATTATAGGTGTATAATTCTTAGGTTGCTTTTGCTCGTCCTTCATGGTTTACATAGTTAAAACTTGTTAAGAGACATCGATCTCAACCAAGGCAACTATTGAATTCAACTTCTATTTAACTGAACGTTTGATTAAGTACTTGTTAGTTGTTAGGTGTAGGTTAAAAACGTTATTAAAGAATTGATATTAAAGTCAACAATTAATTTTAATCACACTTTTTTACAAGATTTACAACTTTTATCAACTTTTTAATTAATTTTTATTAAAAACTTTGCAACTTTTATATCAGTATCTAATGTTTGCTTAGTCTTTTTAGTTATAGTCTTTTCACTTCTAAAAGTATAAGCATGTTGTTATTGTTTAAATAAAAGCATCAAAAAGTTTATTATTCTTTAAGTGAACTTTAACTGGACGGAAAAAAATAATATTTTTATTGCTTTGGTGCTTATTCGGTTATGCCATTTTAGATAAGTGTCTTCCACGTAAGAAGAGGATATCGTCGGGACCCACTTAGTTTTGTGTTCCATTTAGTGCACCTTTATTCTCATTCTAAAAGTCAAATTAGATCTAAAAATGGTATTTAGGTTTATAAAAGTATTTGCTTCAACTAATCAATCACAAAATGTTTATAACATGACAATAAGAATATTACAATAGATATGTTGTCACAATAGCATATATAAAAAAAAATAATAAGAATAGATGTTCTTGTAAAAATATCCGTACATTACTAATGAATATAATTCGCATCGAGGATGAATCATTACAAATGTTGTGTTTTTGTATGCATTTTAATTCTTCATTCTTGCTTTTGGGATTGGAGTTAAGCTTTAATTCGATACACCATTTAAATGGTTGAAACATATTTCGTGTAGACTTAAATTGCATGCTTGGTACATAATGACACAATACATTACAATGATCAAAATGTTATGTATCATTATTTAGTACAATATAGTTTGTAGATATTGCCAAAAGAAAATTGGAAAGATTTCGATACATGGAAATGATATTTAACAGTTAAAAGTTGGGGAGATAGACAAGGACTAATATCATTTTTTAAACTAATTAAATAGTTAATTGCTTTGGTTTCTCTAATATACTTAGCAATAATTGCTTGTAATAATTCATTTTTGAATATTACTATAATTGTCAAATAGTATATACACAGACAAGGACTATGCCGATAAACAATTAAAAGAAATGAATTAGTTAGTAAAGAAATTATACTTACTTTCCCCAGTATTGGAAAATAAACATAAAGATATTGTCTTTTCTAAGAATGCTGAAAAAAGGACGTGTCTATGTGTAGGCAATGCACCTTCTTAAAAAGTGAGCATTCATGCAATATATATAGTTAATCCCATGACCCTCACCAATTTTCCTAATATGAAAGACCAAGTCACAATGCCCTTTAACCATTTTGAAAGGTCCATACTTGAATATCTAAACAGTAAGTAAGCAAACATTTTTACTTTATAAAAGTTTTGGAAACTATTACGGATATGAAAATAATGATCAAAATCAGATTAAATTATCAACTGTCCCTATAGAAAATAGGATTGACTAGCAATTCCGAATATCAAAGATTCCACTGACCTGTAAAAATTGGGCCTAACTCTTGGGTATGCGGTAATATCTCTAAGAAATTATCCATCGAACATTTCTTCCTTAATTTCTATAAATTGGTCACAGCTTCCTACTCATATCATCTTATCATGCAGTAATTGAGATGGTTTATGAATTTATATTGCATCAAGCTGTCCTTGCTATTTTTTGTTTACATTTTTTTTTTTTTTTTAAATTTTGCAAATCACAGTAAGTGATCGTTTTCTTGAGAGATGTTCTCATTATCTCTAGCTAAAAATTAGATTTATAATAGTTTTTTATTTATAAAAGTTGGTAATTATATGATTAAAAAATTAATAAAAGTTGTGGGTCTTATGAAATGTATAATTAAAATTAAGAATTGATTTTGACTTAAATTTTTACTAACTTTTTTAATAAAAAACATAGGGAAGAAAATAATAATAATAATAATAATAATGTCACACTCAGGGGTTTTTTAATCAAACGAACATAGGGAAGAAAATAATAATAATAATAATAATAATAATGTCACACTCAGGGGCGCCGCAAAACCATTTCATTTTGTCTCATCTTTGTATAATAAAATAGACCTTAAAGAAAACTTATCGGAGACCATTAGCATTAATTCCCCTTGAACTTATCAAGAAGTGGCCTATTCCTACAGTACAGGTCTCAATAACAAATTCGAAGATAATTTAGCAGCTGAAGCAACACAAACGATAAATAAGAATACTAGATTTTTATCATATGGTATCACATCATCTTACGTCATATAACAAAACCAAAAATAATAAATGTCGAAAGGTAAAAGAATTGGAGAAGAAATGAAGAAGGCAAACGATGTTCAACATCCCGCCAACAAAATTTTTCAAATAAATAGGAGCCAGAAAATGGGAAAAAGTCACAAATTCCTTCCACAACTAGAAAATAAACCAACAAACCTCCCACAAGCACAACAAATAGTTTATTACTTATCTTACACCTTATTGACAGTCATAGTGTGGGAATTCGATTTCTGAGATATGAAATTTGACTCCTTGTATGCGCAGTGTACAAACAACCAGTGGCGAATCCAGGAATTTGAGTCAGCACGGGCGGCCGTCGACCGTCGACTGCAATAAAATATTAAGAACTCGTTTGATGTACTTTTTTTTGTTGCAAAAAATGCATTTTGGAATAGTTATTTGATAAAAAATAAGTGGTTAAAAATAAGAAAAAAATTTGAATTTACATGTAATATTATTTTATTAAAAAATGTATGGTTGAAAATAAGAGAGAAAAATGTATTCTAAAATAAATGGGAATTAAATAAGGCATAAAATTTAAATATGACAATTATTTTGTTGAAATTGAACATATATAATTTTGTTATAAAAATAAACCGTACTCACCAAATGACATTGTTACCAAATTTTATATAATTCAAAGGAAGAGGACAGGTTCAAATACAATTGCATTAAACCCGCTATAATTAACATATATAAATTTGTTAAATTTAATATCACAAATCAATCAGTGCCATAGTGGTCAATCTCTTAACAATTATAAGAAGCTATCCAGGTTCGAATCCCCTCATACCCATTCCATCAATTTTTGGTAAAAATTGTAGGAGCAAAAAAATCATGCAAAATTCGTTGTAAAGGGAATCGAACCCGGGACTTGCAAGAAGAATATGCCGCCCCTACCCAACTTGGCTGAGAGGAGTTTTTGAATTGAAAGTTAATATCAGTAATATAACCTAAAAAATGTATATGTTCTCCAAAAAAAAAAGAGTTGCCGGCGGATTCAGCACGCGCGGCCGCGGGTGCTGGCCGGGTGCTGGATCCGCCACTGCAAACAACTCTTGTTCCCTTACTTGTTGGAACACATCCCGCGATTTACCCCTCTCACAAAGCTCTAGGGACGGGGTGGTGGGGGTCCTCAAAGTTGGAGTTCAATCTTTTTATTTTATTTTAAATAGTTTATTACATTTAAAAAATAAAAAATAAAAGTAACAAAGCATTCGTTGTGCAGGCTCAACTCACAATTTATAGACAAAAGAAACAGCTGTAAATTAGATTAAAAAGTTTTATTAAGCAATTTTTTTTTTTTTTTGATACCCAGGTGTCCCAACTTCGCCAGACTAAATCCTGGACCTCAAGCCTTCGGCCCTTCATTAGCTTGAGGAAGTTAATTGCGGGTTGTGCCCTTATTGGCTCCCAGGTTCCTGCATGGCTTTTACTCCTTCCCCAAAGAGGGCCCTCTCCACTGCCTTCTAGCACCTTACCTTCGAGATAAATCCCCCTTCCAAGAGACTACCTTCCAGGAATCGAACCCTAAACGCTTGGTTTGTGAGCCCACCAATGCAATTGTTCCACCAACTCGGATATGCTCCGGGGAGCTTTATTAAGC